ACTTTGGTGGTGTTGGATGTTGCTCTGTCAAGGGTCGCTAATACAGCATTGTTCGGGTATGTCAAGAATCATATGAACGTTGTGAATGATCAATAGAGGATTCGTCACTCTTAGATAGTAAGAGATTATAATCTACATTTTATCTAGTTAAGTTGGTAATGAAATCCTTGGCCAAGGTGAAATCGTAAGTCGAAAAGTAGTTTTCGACTTACATTGACTTAATAGTGGGATAAAAGATATGATCGATAATTGAGATTGACACATATCCACATCTCATAATTGATCGGATTATACTGACGAAAGATTATAGTTTTACGGTAAACGAACAAGTTTTGATTTTGTCACACCACGTGACATTTCCCGCCACATATATTGTCCTGATACATTGCTATATGTCAATTTGGGACGACGAATGTAAATTGGTGAAAAATTAAAAGGGGTGTTTTAATTTATCGATCAAAATCGATAATTCACGTCGTTAGGCATCGTGAGCGGGAATCTAATAGGCCACACACAAAAGAGAACCAGAAGAATGAGATTTGCCAATTAATTAATTGACAAGTGTTGGATAATTAATTAATTGAGTTGCTTATTAATATGCATGAATTAATTGGATTAATTAATTCATGGACTATATTTAATTAATTTGATTAATTAAATATTAGACCGAATTAAGTTTAACAGACAAGCCGAGCCCGGTTGGATTTATATTAATAGGCTGCTAGGTTTGAAAATGTATGGATTAATTCACTATTCTTGCTAGCACAAGAAAAGAAAACCATAGCCGTCATTCTTGTTCTATGTGTGGATCACCATTGGAACTTGGATTGCAGATCGTGATCATTCGAGTTTGAGAATCAGCAAAAGAGTTTGCAGAATTCGTCAAATGTATTATTCTAAACACAGTTTCTATCAAAACACAAAGTAGATCCGTGGTGGGAATTGAAATTTGATTTATTTTCTGCTGTGCGTGTTAAGTAAATTCCCAACAGTTTCAACCTGTATGTACAGTTTTTTTGAATTCAGTTAAATTGTGAGCTGCGGAATATTTACCGAGGTGGGCCGAGGCTTTTTGGTTAATTGTGGAGGGATTATTCTGTAAGTATAATTGACTTGTTTTATCTCTTTGGTGAAGGTTAATTTTGAATGTAATTATGGTTTTGCTTTGGTTTGAGTGATAACGGGTAGGAATTTTGAGATTGTAGTTCATGAATTATGTTTTTTGTTGCTTCACCTTTACTGCCTTCCCATTTATGGGCCAGACCTTACATATGAGTCTGGTAATAACTATACCAATAACTATAATAATATAAATGATGCAATATCAAGAGGTAGTTCATCATTATGCAATATGTCTTCCCATCATAATGGTGACTTCTCTGATATTGCAAGCTCGAAATACCTAACAACAAAGTTTCTTGTGGATACAAAGGGTGTTAAAATTAGGTTTGGCCCATCAGGTTATTTGAAAGTGAAAGGTCAGGATGAAAACTCTGCTATTACTGCTGTAAAAAAGCAGTTGGGAAGTCATTACCGAGAAGATGGTCCGCCACTTGCTATTGAATTTGATCCACTTCCCCCAGGTGCATTTGAATCTTCAGAGCAGGAACAAAATAATGGTAAATATTTTTCTGCCCTTTACGTGATGCTCTATTACATTGATCTAACTTTATTATATAACCAACTATGTAGGTGTATTTTTATTCTGTGAACTCACACAAATGTCTATGCTTGAATATTTATATCAATTTGTTCATCTCTGTTTGCTTTGTGTAGTGTGGTGTCTTGTTCAATTCAAATTTGGTTATTCAAGAAGAGGTCAGAGGGCACATGATTTTTGCACGTCTAATGCTTCAGATTAATAGCTATGGAAGAGAATGAAAATAAACACACAAGATGGAAAATATAGCTAGTATATAATGTAATTGCTGGTGAGAAGATATATTTTTTTATGGTCAGGGAAGCATCTAGAGTCCACCATTCTATGGGAGTTCAGCAAAAAATATTGATAATTCTTTATTGATCACATTTCTTTCCTTTGTTTTTTTTTTAAATGTATTGAATTTTTACATTTTGGAGTACAATTAATAATGATTATTGAAGTTGTTTGATATTGTCATCTTCTATCTTATTTTGTGGTTGATTTGT